AGCTTCATGACAGTCTAGGTAACAGACTCGCATGCGCATTTTCAGAGGCTGGTTTCAGTAGTCAAAATGTCGACCGTGCTTGAGACTAATTATCCGTTATTGTGGGGAAAGGACTCAGGGCACAGGATGTTCACAAAGAAATATTTCCTGTTTACGGTGTGAAGCGTGTGGCGCGTGAAGCGGTTCTCATCTAGGTGGCAAACGTTTTGGTAATGAGGCTGAAACGAAGGTGCCTGAGTGGCCGAGACAACAGTCAAAAGACTTTTGTGCTGCGGGTTTCGACGCACTCTTAAAGCGATGACAGATGTACACGTATCAATGTTGGTGGAGGATATGTCGAGAAATACATTTTTTTTTTCAAGTTCCAGTATTACATGTTCTACGATTTAATTTGTGACCAGTTTACTGACTACCTCGTATATCCCGCATCTATTACAGATGCACCAGTCCCCTGTGTAGCTCTTGTATAAAAAGAACTGAATTTTTATACACCCAGTTACAGAGTTATACCTGCCTCTTGAAGCGAGTCGATGTGATGAACGGAAGGCAAATTTGCTTTCCCAGCTGGTAGGTCCTACGTTTACAATGAAATGTCTGTAGCGCTCGGTTTCGTGGGAGTATCAATCATACACGGGGCCCTGGTTGGGTGCTCCGCCACCAGGCGCGCCTCGTCTCAAACCGACGCAATGATAAGTGCGCTTTTGCCCTCTAACGCACGAATCCCTTGTAAATAATGTTTAAATATTCAGTTTGTACCTCACAGGGACATGTTACGTCTCCATTATATAGACCAGTTGTTAACGCTGTTTAGGAAAGTTATTGCCGTTTATTCTGAAAATCACAAGAAACACACAAATACACTGTGGGGGGGGGGGCAGAATGCAGCTACTTTCAGCGTTATGGAGGGGGTACGCATAATCATGTGTCAAATTTAAGCCCCAACTGGCAATTGACTTTCTGAGCTACAAAGACAACGAAACTAAACTCGTATTATTTTTATAGAAAATGTATAGAGAAAGTCCTCGCTTCTCTCATCGTTAACGTTGTTTCGTTGTTGCTTTCATACTGTTTTCATACTGTCACATGACAGAGTGGCTATAGACGAGAAATGGATTGGTAATTGGATTTATTGAGCACTTACACTCGTAACTACAAATAACTTCGACAGTCTCGTTGAGTCACTCCCAAGATTACTGTGACTAGTCATTCAGTCAGTCACTCAGTCTTCACTAGCCGTTGCTTGGTAGCGGCTTCTAACGGCGGACATTCCCCTTCTTCTGGGTTCCTGAACTAGCCCTCGGCCTCAGCTACCAGCTTCTCACTTCTCAAAACTGAAACTCTAAACTGACTCAGCAACACCTTAAGCCAAAGCCAAAGTTATGTTACGACTGACGGTCAGTCGGCCAGTCTGTCTTAGTGTCAAGCTCCCATCTGAGACCCAAGACCAGCGCATACCCTGATGCGCGGGGAAAAGAAATAATACGGCTGTGTTTTATCATTTAGCTCGTCTGCCCATGTGAATGCTACTGGGTTCCTTTCTAGACGACGCGACTTCCAAATCGAGTTTCGTCCCTGGTCAAACGTGATTTTTGTATAGACAAAAGCTTTGTGTCGGCCCAAACATGACTGTCCGTCACAAACAAAGCAGAAGTACGACCGGCGCAAGCCTGAATCTCTCAAAAACAGTTAAACTTCCTCAGAACTTCAGCGCAGTCAACACGGAACCTCTAGAAACAAGAAACCTGACAGAATAGCCGGTGTCCCTGCCGAGATTCGAACCGGGCACCTCCCGAATACAAGCCTAGAGCGTTACCCTGTGCCAACCCCGTCAGCAATTGTATTGAGGGTGGATACGTGAAAATCTTGGAATGTCGTTTGTTGCTACATAACTCTTTCCTAGACGACGCGGTTAGTTTTGTTCTTGTGCTTATATTGCCTGTCACATGCTAAGCGGAAACAGGAAACACGGCGCACGATGGAATGTGCGGCTGTCTCAGCAAATCTCAGTTTTAGGGCCGTCACGAGATGTGCGTATGTGGGCAACATTGTGCCCCTCACATAAAGACTGTCCAGGTGTACTGCAGTCATAAAAGCCTATAGAACGTGTCTCACCGCGCGGGTTTGCGTAGCGGTAACACTCTTAAGGCGCGTCCACATTAGTCGTGCTCGTGAGTAATGTGGACGATATGACAAGTCACGAGACAAGCAAATTTTTAATTTTTAATTTAAAAAACTATAGCCAGTAAATTAAAATACAACTACAGCCTATACACACTACGAGTATATATATGGATCCTCACGCGCCGAAGCCTGGAGAGCAACTGAAGTAGTGTGGACGAAGATTTACTGGCACAAGTAAAAGCCAGACGAGTCTTCCGACGAGCACGAGTAATGTGGGCGCGCCTTTAGAGTCGTATATACCGGCTATCCTGGCTGAGGTCTTCATATTTTTCCTCAGTCCCTTCAGGCAAGTGCCTCTTTTAGGCTGCGGCCGCTTCCTTCCAAATCCAGGGCTGGATTCAAAGTAGTGACGGCGCGGGGAAATCGGAATGCTGAGGCCCACTCAGTAACAAATTTCGGTTGTGACATCTTTGTTCTTATTTCATATAATGGCCAGGCGGTTAGTCGCTGGCTTTAACCGCAGCGGCCCTGGTTCGAGCTCAGGTCAGGTCATGTAGAATTTGTGGTGGACAAAGTGGCGCTGTGGGATGATTTCACCGAGTACATCTGTTTCCTCTGCAAATTCTGATTCCACCGACGATTCCACCGACTGGTCCACGTGCATCATCATCTATGATCTGGGGCTGGTACAGTAGAACCAGTTGGTGGCCGCAGCACCAAGTGGACTCAGCGGGGACTCACCCCGCCTTAAGAAACTAAATTGAAAGAACATTTCATATAATAGAAAAAAATGCAAACTGACTTCGTGATATCAGAGAAGCAAATTTCTCGATAATGTCTGTGGATTTTATTTTTGTTTTGTGGAGAACCCTGGGCGGCTTCCCCTGTCGCTACCCCTTAAATCCGGCACTGTCCAAGGATCAGTCATCTTACCGTCCTGTGCTATATAGTATGGCGTATAAACCCGTTACTATGCAAAAACCCCGAAACAAACAACGGCGCGGTAAACTCGTTCCCGCGGAAACGAACACGCACGCAGCAATAGAGGAAATGTTTTGATGTGGTCCGCGCCGAGGAGTTATAAAGAAGACAGTTGGGGCAGACTAATTCATTTGAGGGTTGGCAGTTCAGTAGAGTTCTGCACGGCAGGCTGTGACAAAGAGGACCTGAGCGCGGGAAGCTGAAGAATCTCCGCTGTTATAAACCGTTGCCAGGAAATGTCTAGTAAAGATAGACTTAGCGTGTGCTAGTGATTATTGTGGAGATCAGCGATGGCGCTGTAATTACTTGTAGTTCCGAATGGCGTGTACTAGTGGTCAATAAATCCAATTTACTAATCCAAACCCCGTCTATAGTCACACCTCTAAATCGTCACAATGGATCCGATGCCGAAAATGTCGTAAAATAATCCATTACAAAAATAATGATCTTTATGAAGCATACTGTGACAATGTGGGCTAATGGAAATTGTGAATTTATATTGTATTTCTGGGGTTCTGCAGTAATACACTTTCTTTAGGCTGGTTACTGGTTGAATGAAATGATTCCTGGTACGGGTCAAGGATCTCTCACTTTGCTACACGCCAAAATTCGCTGTGAGGCCCACGCAGTTTCCGCGAGGGTAAAGTGGATAAGGCGTGAAGCTGAACACTTGCCACCATGTCTGTTACGTGCATAGCTTGTTCACTTCTTACTGGCTTACGCGCCGGTGAAGTAGTCTTCGCACGCTACACAAGATGGCTGTCTTCAGTGCAGCAGTAGTGGATGTTGTTTAAATGTGTCACTTTGTAGCCACTGGCTCCAGTAAGCGGCGCTGTGAACTTATGTGTTGTTTCAGCATGGCTGGAAATCCTCAACTGGAACAGTCGATGCATTGTGAACTACGCTCTTTAACTCGGCCTGCGACCTGCTTCGCGTTTGTTTGCGTTCTCTCCGCAGACATTGCAAATGAAATATAGTGCCGAGTAAGGTTTAAGAATGCACCCCGTTTCAGAGGCGGCTCATCTTTTTATGGGTCATTTAACAACGCTTTCTGTATCTAGAATATATAGCGTCGGGTTGTAGGATGACTGATGAATTGGAAAGGATGTGGAAGGAACTGGCCGCGGTGAATCGGAGTATTATCCCGACAGTTGCCTTAAGGAACTGGGGAACGCCATGAAAACCCTGTCAGGATAGACCCTGTCCCGACCGAGCTTCGAGCCGAGCACCTCTCAGTAGAAGTCTAGAGCGTACCTGTAGGCCAGCGCGTTTGGTGCACTACATTTTACATCGTGACTACTGATTATCAGAACATGTAATGACTAATGACACAGAACAAAACTGGGACTGAAGAGAGGCATATTACGTCATGCGAATGGAGGGCTGCCGAATTGCGAGACAGGTTGCAGAACAGAACCCACAGGGGAAATAGAGGCAGGGCAGGTCAAACACATGGAAAGATGAGATTAAGGGCAGCATGCAAAGCAGAAACCTCAAGGATGAAGAACGTTTTGATCGAGAGCTCTTGATGAAAAATGTTATGTCTTTGGTTTGAAGAAAATGTGTATTCACAGAAAAGTTCCTTTAATAAAGTAAATAATGTTTAGGATGTGATGTTAATGAAACTGTTTCGAGAACAAAGGCACACCAGTGCCAGTTTTCGTCACCATATTTCGAAATTTTGTGTCATTGTGACGAAGTTTTTAGCAGTTTGGCCTGTTTTAACCAGGTGGGCAGGGAAATATTTATTGCCTGTGGAGACATTTAACCTGATGGTGGCCCTGGTTTTACCTCAGTTCTTTCATACGTTTTTATTCCATGGTCTTCAGCACAGTGGAGGTGTCAGCTTTATCTTCTTGCAGATGTGTTTTTATTTATCTGAGTGTGCTGTGTTGCAGACAACATTAAACCAAAGAAACCGATCGACTTGACAACGCTGAAAGGAAAAGAGCAAGAGATATTTGATCAGGAAGTGGCTGCAGATGATGATGAGGAAGATGATGATGACGATGATGATGAAGACAATGAAACTGAGGATGGTGTTGAGGAAGACGAAGAAGAGGATGATGACTATGTTGAAGAAGACGCGAGCAGCAGTACAGCTGGCACTTTGCCCACACCTAGCCCAACCCCTGCTCCTGCTCGGCACCTCCAGCCTGCCTCATCTGCTCCTGTGACTCAGGTTCCCACCCCTGACCCCTACTTCACACACTTCGACCCACGGCTTGAACACCAGGCATACAAAGATGCCCAGCAGCGCCTTGAGGAGATGCATCGTGAAAAGGTCACCAAGGTAAGCACACTTAAGGCACATCCCATGTCATGAGGCCTAGCAGTCTTATCCTTCTCCTCCTCCTTCCCCTCCTTCATCTCCTCCCCCTCTTCCTTCACATATTAAAATAAAATATGCTACAAGTCGGAAGGTCGCGGGTTCAAATACCGATGAGGTCATTGGATTTCTTTCAATTGACCTAATCCTTCTGGCCGCACTATGGCCCTGGGGTTCACTCAGCCTCTAACAGAAATGAGTACCAGGAATTAAATAAATAATTTTCCTGGGGAGTAAAGCGCGGCCCAACGCGTAAGGCTAACAACCTTACCGCCATCTTTGAGCCGATTGTCTAGATAATGTGGGACCCTCAACGTCTCACAACCCAATGAGCCTTCATGGCCTGTTACAGGGATAGCTTTACTTTTACTTACTTCTTAGAGATGCTTCATAGCCTAATACTTGACAAAGAAAATGAATACTGTACTCTTATCTTCCTTTTGCCATCCAAGTCATTTTCTTCCATGGCCTATGTATTTCATTACTTATGTCATAACTGTGTTGTCCTCCATGTATCCTGTGTGCCACATCATTTCACTTATCACTAAGAGGGTTGACTGTGATTTCTAGTACTCTCATGCTTTAATAAAAGATGTTATATAACCATGGGAAGGGGGTAAGGAAATGGAACCTAGTCCATGCCAGTGGGAGCAGTAGGTGGGAAAATAATCCTTCCCAAGAGGAAATAACTGTCTTAACCTTTGAAAGAACCTTTTCTGTACCTCCTTCATAGCCTAGATGATTGCTGGTTCATTTAATTTTTTAATGCCCTGCTGCTCTAATGAAGAGTACTTTTTAGTTATTAGTTAGTTATTTAGAGAGGGTGGGTTTCCCCATGCACCGCGACCAGTTTGATCTATTGTGCTTCCCTCTATGATATTCTACCAGTCTCTATACCCTACCGATAAATGGTGCGTACCATCAGTCCCGCCGAGCAAGCGAGTTCGGCCACTTGCTTAGCGGTATCTATAATGCTTCCCCCATCTATGAGAGGCCTTAGAGAGTATTGTTGGGTGGGAAACGTCCTGGAATTTGGCTCAGTGATCCCCTTTAGGGATATGAGGTTCTTTTACGTGCCGTAAAGTTACGACACGGGACACATAGCTTAAAGTCCCTCCCGGAGGACTTGTTCCCCGAATTTTTCCGCCCTTAAAAATTCGACGACCTCCTCTGGGTATTTGAACCTGTGTACTACGAGTCATGAGGTGGGAACGTTACCTCTAGACTACGGAGGCCGCTAAGAGTGCTTTCTTACATATCCCACAGTAGGAAAACTGGGAATGGCCATGTTAGTTGCCAGCTTACTACAACCACTGCCCACATTCTGTCCCGGATCAGGTTATGTGGGATTTTTGGTACACAAAGTGGCATTGGGGTAGGTTTTCTCAGAACACTTCAGTTTTCATGCCAATTATCATTCCACCAAATGCTCCATATTTATTAATTATCCCACCACTGATGCCATAGTCTTGATACTGACAGTGTCATTAAATAGTTGACTTAAAAAAAAAGAAAACTGAGGGCCAAATTAACTCAGTCAGTACAGTGAATATACTGCAGGCTGGACAACCCTTGAATCAGAGTTCAGATTTCTGGCAGGAGCAACAGATTTTTCTGTACTCCACATCATACTGACCGGCTACCTGGAGCTGTTTCCCTGGTGGTAATGTAGCCATGGCATGAAACTGGCCTCTGCAGAGACCTTCATCTTCACTTTGCCATACATAGTTTTACTTTGTGCTTAATTAAGAATTGGAACAACTTTACATCATCTCTGTGATAATTGTTTTACAGGTGATGAAGGACTGGTCAGACCTGGAGGAGCGATACCAAGACATGAGGACAAATGACCCTAAGGGAGCAGATGAATTCAAGAAACGCATGACCCAGCGATTCCAGAAGACAGTGCAGGCACTGGAGGAGGAAGGTGATGCAGAAAAGCACCAGCTGGTGGCGATGCATCAGCAGCGTGTTATGGCGCATATAAATGAACGCAAGAAGGAAGCCATGGGTTGCTACACCCAAGCACTCAGTGACAACCCCCCAAATGTGAGCTGTCTACTTAACTTACAGTGCCATGTCTTATTCGTTGATTTGCACTTCCTCATTATGTCATAAATATGCATTGAGGTGGAGACTGGTTTCAAACAAAGCTCAAAACTGCGTAAGGGAAGTATTTTTAAATAAATGTTCACCATTTGATTTGTTTCATTCTGGTCCGTCACATTAACAATATTATAAAAGATAAAACAATTCCATCCAGTGTGACTGGTGAAGTTTTTCTTATTTCAATTCTTCATGCCCTTGCATGTTTCAGTCCTTAGAAACCATCATCAGAGGTACATCGATACAGTTTGGAAACCACTATTACAACGGATGTTCTGAATGTTAAAATATATGTACAGCAATACATCGCATAGTCCGGGTAATCGGTTCTGCCAATATCCCGGACTGTTCGAAACCAGACAAATCGAGGAACTAAATACATACAAAAAATGATAATTGCTTAAAAAAAAGTCTCCTGTTTTCAATAAATAAAACTCGATTAATAAATCCAAATGTCTTTATTATAAAAATTTTTTAAAAATTGTGTTTTTCGCAATTCGTTTTTTATTCTCTAAAAATTGCAATATTGATGTCTGCAAATTTTTCTTCTTTGGCCTTTTCTCTTCATACATTTCTTTGTAGCAACAAATTGCATTGTTTATCGGTCGGCGAATTGTAAGGCTACGTTCAATATTGGGATCAACTTCCATAATATGCTCTGACAAGTTTTCAACCATTCCAATAATTTTTATAGTTGTTCTGCTGTTAATTCTCGTGCAGGCACTTCAACATAATCATTCTTGGCTAAGTTGTCCTCCCATTCCTCATAAGCCCGTTGTTCCTCTGTGTTAATAAGTGTTTCATTATCTGGTTCATTAGTGTTTGATTTGATGCACCCAGTTACGTTGACAGAATGTAACTCATTGCAACCAATTTGCTGTCCAATTTCCACTATGTTATTAGTGACTTCAGCAAAATGCGTTTCAAAACCGATGAAGTCATTTGCACAATGTGGTATGGTATGTTTCCATACTGCCATCATGTTGCTTGCCATTAATTCATGCCATGCTTCACCTATATTTTTGATAACGTTTCTGATGTTGTAGCTCTTCCAAAATTCTGTTACAGTAGTGTTCTCCCCACCTCCTCCAGCAGAAGCTGTCAGAGCTCAAGAACGAATGACCCGAGCATAGATACATACATGGACAATGTGGAACCCCAGAAAAAATTGAAATATGTATTGTATTGCATAACTTTAAAACCACATAAAAATAAACCGCACAAAAAGAGACTTGACTGTATAAAAAGAAAAAAACGATCATTTATGTATTAAAAATATTTAAGGGTACTAATTTTTTAGAATCATTTTTATTTTGCTCAATTAAAATTTAGTTTGTTTTGAAATTTTCAAACCGGACTATAGTGAATCCGGACTGATCGAAGCCGGACTATGCGAGGTATTGCTGTACATACAATGTTGACAGTACACAAATGGATACAAAATACAAAGTTTTCGTAACTAAAGCAGCTTTCTTGATAAATTAAAATTTTTTAAAACATTTGTTATTTAAGTTAGAATTTATAAACCAAATAGGTTTGTGTCCTCTCTGTTATCACCTCTCTTGACAGGGACTGAACTTGTGCCACCTGTCTTTCTTGAGAAGAAGGTTCTTTGATGTCCTGTGGTTGTTTGTGGCACACTGTGTTGTTTTGACTCGTTAACCAGTTCTTAGAAGCAGCTTCATACAAATTTAGAGCCCCTTTTATTTCTCATATATTTAGGAACAACAGTAACAAATCAAAATTTGATTAATGAGGAAAGTGAGAGCAAATTAAATTTGGGCAGTGCTTGTTACCAGTCAGTTCAGAACCTTTTGCCTTCTTGTCTGCTATCAAAAATGTAAAAATGAAGATATACAGAACTATAATTTTTCCTCTAGTTTTGTATTGGTGTGAAAATTGGTCTCTGAGATTAAGGGAAAAACAGACTGGGGGCTGTTTGACAACAGGGTGTTGAGGGGAATATTTAGATCAAAGAGAGAGAAAATGATATGAGGCTGGAGGAAACTACATAATGAGGAGCTTCATAACTTGTACTCTGTGCCAAATATAATTAAGAGTGATCAAGTCAAGGAGAATGAGATGTTCATGACACCACTAGGAATACATAGATGTACGCGGAAGGTGGATGCATAATGTTTAAATGGATCTGAGAGAAATAGGATGTGGTGGTATGGACTGGATTCATCAGGCTTAGAATAGGGACCAGTGGTGGGCTGTTGTGAACACAGGAATGCACCCTTTGGTTCCAGAAAATATTGAGAAGTTGTTGAACAGCTGAGCTACTCTCGGCTTTTCGAGAAAGACTCAGCTCTGTGGAGTTAACCGGTTTGCTTTAGTTCTGCCCCATATTTGTCCACACACACACACATGGTGTCCACCACATATGGTGGAAAATTAGTTTTGGTGGAACCCAGGTCTCTCACAAACGTAAACCTCACCAGGTGATGATGAGACATTCATTGTCCCCACTGTGAGAATTCGAAATCTGTAGAATATTCTCAGTTAATTTACATAAATATTGGTTGTGAACAAAATTGCACTGGAGCATATATTTTCTGAGAATTTTCCATTTTGATGCCAATCACCATTGTCTCAGTGGTCAACCAAGTCAGACAAAACAGGCATGCTTGTGGCCTAAGTACCCAGGAAACCAGTCTCACACCACTACAGAAATAGAAAAAAAATGCTAATGAATTAAAGATTTACAGTTGGTGTGGGAGATTGATTTATGCTTGTTTATGACCACCAGACTCACCGGGTACAGAAATGTCTACAGAAGCTGCTACGAGCACTACACAAGGACCGCCACCACACCATCTCACACTACCGCCATCTGCTTGCTTCAAGCTTTGAACAGGCTGAACGAGAGAAGGCTCTTACTCTGGAACATCTCACAGACATTGATAAGATGGTGAATCAGTCACTGCAGATGCTAGAAAGGTAACATCACCAATGTTATGTACTCAATAGTGGTGAAGGTTTGTGGTATGCAGTGACATTCACAGTTACTGCTTCTGGGTAGTTCTGTAGTAAATCAGTCTCATGGAAATCTTAAATTCAGGCTTTTATTATGTGCGAAGTGAACAGTGGATTGCAAAAAATTAAAATTACTTACACTTGCTGCCAGCTTATTGGTTACTTCATGTTCTCTTTGACTCTAAAGATGGAGGCAGTACATTCCTTGAAATATTGATAAAATTCTATCAACCTTTATATGTTGCAATCTGTGATGTATCATTCAAAATAGCAAAATTGTATCCATCAACACAACAGTTACACTATTCTCACATGAATTCTGTCTGCTACTCTAATATTTTCTCTAGCAGAGTTAAGTTCTTATTCGAAGAATTTCTGTTTCTTACATATGAGAATTGATGTTCTCACAACAATGACAGTGAAGTTTACTCTTTCATGTGATTTGACACTGCATAGTTTGGTAGATTGTTGCCAACATCTCTACATCACTTAGTGACTATTACATGGGTTCTGTGGGGATGGTGAAATGTCTATGTTTGGTGAAATCCATGTAATGTTACAGGTTCCCTGATCTTAGGTCCAAGATTGGTGAACTGATGGAGGACTATATCCAGGCCCTGCGCAGCAAGGATGAGACACCAGGCTCTCTGCTTGCCATGACAAGGGACGCTGAAGCAGCCATCTTGGAGAAGTACCGCGCTGATGTGGCAGCTAAGCAGGAAGGTTAGACAAGGTTCTCAGATCACTGATTTTAGGCTTTCACAACAATTCATTGGTGGAACATCAATCATGTATTAAGGTGATGACACCATGTGAAAGTGTTGCCAGTGTTTTGGAAGAACTCACTACCTCATCTTAGGGTAGAAGACTAAGCCAAGCAGAGAAATGGGAGGGCAGGAGCTGGACCTTCCTGTGAGCCATGGGCAATTGGTAGCATATAAAATTACCATTTTTTAAGAGCACAAACTGGGCAATGTGCATAACAGATAGTGAGATGGACATAAGAATTAATAGATTAAATGAAGGTTCCTGAGCTGTCAACACAACAATGAAGTAAATTAATTTTTCATAAAATCATCATTGAATGAGGCAATAAAATTGATGGAACAGTTGATACTTCTATTGATTTTAATGTGTTTCATTAAAATTGGGACTTCCTATACATCTCTGTCCTTTAAAATTTTAATTCTAATGCCCTTCCTGGAATCCTTGTTCTGTGCAGTCTTTTTATGTGTTCAAACTGTGTTCAAACTGTGTTCAATCATATCTTCTCTGACTAACAAATTTTGAATTCCAACTTCTCTAAAATTTTAATTTCTAATTCCATTCCTTCATTTTACCTCATTTTTATCAAAAATTGTTTCTTTTTACCAGACCCCATGTGTTCACATTGCTCACATTGTATGTTATTATCATTTTCAGTTGTACTTTATAGGTTGTTGCAGGATGGCCAGGGTTCAATTCGTATTAGGGCAAGATTTTTCTGTTCTTCATAGCATCCAGAATGGCTCTAGGGTTCACCCACCCTTGTGTGCGTGGGTACAAGGGCTCTTTCCACAGGGGTAGGGCAGGTGGGGGCGTGAAGCTGACCATTCACTCCATCTAGTGCCAAGGTCAAGAGTGGTGGAGCTATACCTCCACTCCTTAATACATCTTCATGGCATATTGCTTAATTAATTAAGCACAGGGACAACTTTACTTTACATGTAGATTGGTGCTGCCATATGCAGTATGATTAGTGACATGGTACCAAGTCGTAATTTTTGTATTTGTTCTGAGAAACTGTACAGACCACACAAAACTGTTGAGCCCAGAAACTTACCTTTTTAGGATACCATACATATGTCAGCTTACAGAACTGCAGAAATGTTGAACCAAACGTTTCCTTATGTCTGCAGAAAAAGAGCGCCAACGTGAGCTGGAGAAACAGCGCAAAGAGCAGCGTAAGAAGGAGCGCGTTGAGTTGCGTGAGGAAAAGCATCGTGTGGAGGCCAAGCTGAATGGTCGTGACAAGTTTGATCCTGAAACCATGGAGGATGAACACATGGATGAGTCAGCCAACACCGTATCAGCTTCCTCCCTTGCTCCTGATGTTGCCCAGCCACACAGAGAAGAAGTGGCCCACGTTGCCCATGCACAGGCTCATGACGTTAGCCACAGTGAACCCGTGAGTTGCCCCCACTCTAAACCGGTGAACTATTCTACTTTTATAAACTTTGAATTGTCTCTTAAACCCATAAACCATTCTGCTTTTTGTTTATAAACCCTGAATTTTTATTTAAATCTGCAAGCTATTTTATAATCTTCTCTGAGTATGTTAAGAACCTTGAGTTGTAACTGAAAGAGGCTGCTTGGAAGACTAAGAATATACTCATATACAAGGATAATATTAAATTGGATCTTAAAGAATTGTGGTCAGAAGGTGTGTACTGGTTTTATCTGGCTTGGGCTATGGACCAGTCATAGGGCCCTGTGGTGATGATAATGAATTTTTGGTTTTTTAAAATTCTAGGAATTTGTTTACTAGTTAAGCAAGTGTTAGCTTCTGAATAAGGCCTGTGCTCTAGAAGTTGGTTAAGCTGTGAATTGTGTATGGAAAATTATGAAGGAAGAGGTCAGAGATTTTCTTCAGTAGGAAGCTACTCAGTGTTGCACTAATTTTGGGGAAAAGCATAGGAAGATATATATATATATATATATATATATAACGGGGGCACATGGTAGCATAGTTGGTTGAGGCATTATGCTACAAGCTGAAAGGTCATGGGTTCCATTCCCGATGAGGTCATCAGATTTTTCAATTGCCCTAATCCTTCCAGCTGCACTATGGCCCTGAGGTCAACTCAGCCTCTTAACAGAAATGAGTACCAGGAAACTTCCTGTGGATAAACGGCAGCTGGTGCATAAGGCTGACAACCTCACTGCCATCTCTGAGCTGGTTGTTTAGAAAATGCGGGATCCTCGACATCTCAAAACCCTGTGGGCCTCCACAGCCTGTCGCAGGGATATATTTAGAACAGTCATTATGAAATGATGAACGAAACTTTGTGAAGACAGAGCGGAATTATCCGTTACGGTTCATAAATATCTGTCTTTTGCCTTCATGCATCTACCACATAAGTTACTGCGCATTTAATGTACTCTTTGATCACTAGTGCTTTGTTTGTCCCCCCTCTCAGACTTACTCAGTGCGTCGAGAGGTGTACCACCGGGAAAGCAAGAGCATCTATTTCACACTGGCATTTGCTGGAATAGCTTTGATGGCTGCCGTGATTGTTGGTGTTGCTGTACTCAGGAGGAGGAATGCCCGTTCACCTCAGAATCAGGTAGTAAAATAACAAACTAAAAACTTCAAAATGAAGTAGATACAATTATCACTGACCAGAAGGAAACATGAATGTAATACAATATTACTTGTCGTCTGGAATGTCTCGTCATATAGTGTTATAAATCTTTAGCATTATTTCAGATATAGCTGCTGTCCCTGTCTTCTGGGTTGAAGTATTATTTGATTTCAGAGGCATTAACTTGAGATCAGATGACATATGCATTGCAGAATTAATTAACACACATTGAGTAGAGGACCTCTGTCACAGCGGTGAACCATCAGCTTCTGTAATGCCAGAAGTGGGGAAAAAAATAAGTTACTGTCGGCCTTGTGAACTGTTAATTGTGTGAAACTAATGCAGTTCTTTCATTGTATCTTAGTTTCACTTATGGCTAAACACAAGAGTGTTTGAAATGAATTTTGAACTTATACGGGAAAGTCAGGATTGTTCAGTCAGTATAGGGAGTGGCTTCAGGCTGGATGATTGGGATTCAATTCCTTACATTGGTATGGGATGTATTTTTTCACCACCATGGCCTGACAGGTTCTGGGGGCCACCCACTGTCTTATGAAGTGTGTACCAGGGTATCTTTCATTGGGCCAGGGTCAGAAACTGATATTCATCTCCACATAGAGTCAGGGTTATAAATTGTGTGCAGCTATGCTCTCAGTTCCTGGTGTCATAGTGTCTTTATGCTTATTTGAACATGGAGACAGTTGTACTTTACAGTGTTTCTGGTCATTTTGTTGTGAAAGAATGTGATAACCTCTGATGGTTTATCACATACATTAATGGGTGCAGTTATTTTTGTCAGTAGTAGCTTAATTACAAGGATAATGCCTTATGTGCAAATATTTGTTTTTTACATTGGAAACGTTTATCTGTGCCTCATAACTACACACTTCATATGTGTAAGTTTTTTATTGCTAGAATGAAAATAAACTGGTTGACATTTTGTAACGAATGACATGTTTCAGGGTTTTGTGGAAGTGGACCAGGCAGCCACCCCAGAAGAACGGCATGTGGCCAATATGCAGATTAATGGTTACGAGAATCCCACTTACAAATACTTTGAAGTGAAGGAGTAATTGCCAGGTGTTGGATATCATTCCTTCCATGTTTTAGCAGCTAGCCACAACATCTAGGAGTTGACTGTAAGGTTAAGATCAGTCATACATAAAACTTATAAAAAATATGGTAGTGACTGTCGTTTTTATCGTAATTTCTTTTGTATCCGGATGTTAATACTCCGTCTGTCAGTTTGTGGCTCCTCCTTTAGTTTGTATACAAGTACATTGTGTGCTTTAACATTAATCATGTATTGATAATGCAGCGGAAAGTGTTTCTAATAGCTAACAGTTGAGTTGGTAACAGTCAGCGAGAGTCTTGTGTTAATGTAGTTGGCGTTTTAATTTGGCTGCACCAGCCATTCTTGTTGTACAGTGTATAAACAGCAGGATGCTTTCATCAGTTAGGTAACAGTACTATCTTCTGGGGATGTAACGCCACACAGTCTGTTGACACAGGCTACAGGGCGTCATATACTAGAAGACAGCACTCTTCATAACCACCAATGTGAGAGCTCAGATCCTACAGTTTTGAAGATGAAGAAGAAGAACAAGAAGAAGAAGAAAAGCAAAAGTCCTTGAGCTAGATAATAATCTCATTCTGTTTACCATTCCAAACCTTTTATTAATAATTTTCACCATTCTTGATGCCTTTTTTGTTGTTGTTGTAGTTTTACACTGCATTATTTATAATGCAAAACAAATATATGTGAGATAATATCGAAAAAGGATTATTTTGGAATGATAGGTCTTGTGGCAATACAGAATGAAGCTCCCTCCAGCCATAGTATTTTAATTTTTCTAATTGTATTACTGTTAGTATATACATAGTGTGGTGTGTGGTCGGGTGCAAGTTGTATATCAGGAAAATGGCTTTTTTGTACAGAACTTGGGTTACTTCTAGATGCTTCATTGAGCACAAGTATTTAGTTAAATGTTCCAACAGCAGCTGTAGTACATATTTTGATGGTAACTAAAAAAAACATATAGACGTTGGATATGATGTATCCTCTTTATTTATTCCTTAACTTTAATAAAAACATGTTTCGTGTTCCATAAAATGTTCATTAAACTGGGGGTTAGTGTATCATCACTTTTTTTAATACAAGAAATTAAATATTGCTCTATTCCCTATTGTAAAAATGATACTCACATTATCAACTTGTAACAGTAATGTAACCCTGCATGTTTATTTTAAAATATAACAATAATTATTCATGGTGTGTGAAAAAAGTAGAAATATATAAAAAGGGCATTTTTTTCTAGAAGTGAAGCTTGCTGTATGTCATGAAAATTTCGCACTGGATAATGTGTACAGGGCAGAAACTTATATCAAACAGAAGTGTCTTGTAATCTGTGTTTCATGTAGTCCAGTCTTTTGATGGCTTTATAAAACAGAATATGTGTATGTAAGCAATGGCTGGCAAACTGATGGGTGAGTAAGAGTTCACACATATGCTTCTCCTGAGAAGCAGACATCTCAATGCTTTTTGGATCTCACAGACACTTAATCTCATTTCAAACAACTATAATTATACTTCAGTGTTAACTATATTGTAAGTATGCAAAAAATAAAATATAATCTTTGCATTTAAAAATGTAAATGGTTCTCAGATAAATATATTTTAATTTTAACATGATTTAATAATAGATGTTTCTTTCTGCAGGGGCCGATAGAAGCTTGTGATAACTCTTTTGCACTTTTGACTCACTGTTGTGCCATATTTTCATGTGTTGATTAAACTGATATACCTCTTGGGCATTTTCCATTATTTGTTCATGTTTAAAAAGCATTATGTTTCAGGATCTGGCTTTGTTTTCATCAGGTAAAAGTATGGAATTTCCTCTGTCAGGTCTGTTTGATGGAGCTGATCTGTGTCTAAGCCTGGGGGTAGGGTCAGTTCAATCTGATTTTACCTGATGATGGAAATACAGCCGGTTTCTGAAACTTTGTGTTCATTTAACCAAAAATAAGATGAAGAGCTTAGTCTTCTCATATATAATGCCATGTGACCCGCTGGAAGTAGAGCGACACCTTGGAGGAACTTCACCCCCATCTTCAGGATCAAAGAATAAACCAAGCAAGAAACCAGTGTGAGGCAGAATTTTAGATCTTGGTAGCTGTTTTGTATTTGGTTTATTTACTGGCCCTGAATATGGAGACAACACATTCCTCCAAAACAGCGATTGTGCAGGACTGCACAATTTTACATCCTAGGAGACAGGACTCTTCATAACCACAACTGTGAGAACCTCAGATACTGCAGAAATGAGATAATGGAAAATGTTCAACATGCATCAGTTTAATAACACAACCGTATCACAAACCTTCAGATTTAATTTCATGTATAGAGTCACTGCATGCCTGAAAATGTTTTGACACTAGTCATTTGTTGTAAATACTCCAGAGGGGAACAGACAATACTCGTACTTTCAGTATACAAGCAAGCTTTGGAGTCTGAAATGACATATCTCTGCCCACATTCTGCTTGGTGCTTGTGGAGCAATGGTATATGTGTGAATGAAGCTCATTTTGGTCTCATTTGGTTTAGAAAATGAGCAGAGTTTGCTACCCATATCTCATGATACTCTTGTGACATTTCTTATACTCCTTGGCATTAATTTACAGAACAGTACCAACATAAAGCTATTAATTCTTAAACAAGAGCAGAAGTGGACAGGTCCACTGGAAGAACATGTTGAACTGAATGGTTAGAATATAATTTTATGTTCCATGTAATTTAGTTTCTTACTGACCATTGCATTCTCTCGGCCATCTGTAATCTCAAAAATAGTATGAAGTATCAATATATTACAGGCAGTACATCCTGGAAAGTATAAAAAAATCTGATTTAATACTTTTTATGTTTCTGGAAGTGTTCATGACAATGATCAAATCAATATACAGATATTATTTTGGGCATTCTCCATTGTCTGAAGCATATTTGATATAAAGAACATTATGGAAATCAGATCTGTTTCCATCATCAGGTGTAAGGTGGGGGAAAGGATGCTACTGAACTGGATCCATTAGAAAAAGCTGGCTACTCCATTTGGAACGTTGGGATGGATGTGACTCAGTAGGATCCTCCACTTTATTCACTGTTGAAAGATACTGTGTGTATCTGCTGTGCCTTAGACAATTGACTATGTCTGGTACAATAACCATACCCTGCGTGGAGGCATGTTAGAATATCTCCACCATAGCCCTGTGACTCTCAGAATTGTTGTGAAAACCAGATAAATCTAGCAGAATCCTCAAAGGATAAAACTAAATATCAACATAACTAAGAAATAATTAATTTATTTATGTGCAGAAAACATTTGACTTTTCTGCACTTTACTTGATAGAATGCCGCTAAGTAGCAGAATTTATACATTTACAAGACGAATTGGAACCATCCAACTCCTTAATTGCACATTGTGTGCAACAGTCATGAGTCATATTTTTAATTATGAATTGGTTGAATTAAATGTATTCATACAGATATAATATTTTAACTCTTTAGAATAAGTTTGTGAAGATACACTGTCAAATTTCTAATCAGCAATCTGTTTAAGTTGTCACACCTGAGATGAAACTATGTTATCGTGTCATCACTCATGTTTTCCTCTGAACTAGAGCCACTCTGTGTCACCCCACTTTTGATATGGTTTCTACTCCTCTCCTGTAGATTAGACTACTGCTTTTTCTGACAGAGAAGCCCCATGGAGCCCACCGCAAAAATTAAAATCTCTGCAAAGTGAACATGCACTTTACTTCCTTATTTCTTTTTTCTCACAAGATTCTATGCAGAATGTAAGCAGTTTCTACAATGGCCACAGGATAACACAAGAGAGGAAGAACAAGGTGTGGCTCAATGGCTTCTCTGTCTGTTAGCAGTGGTACCAACCTCATATAGGTTGGCACTTCTCAATGCACTCTGGGGACACTTATTGGTGAATGTAGTGCGTACAGATATATGTCTGCATTGTGTTCCGTGGCCATTGTAATTTTAATTAACAATAAATACTTAATTTAACGTATTCTTGAAGTGTGTGTTCCATGAAGATTACCATCACAAATAATTCCTTGCTCTCTTTCTCCCTCATAGAGAGCGTTGCAGATATGCAGATTGCAGTGACAGTGTGTTACACTGCTATTGAGGTCTGTTTGCCTGAGAACAGTAATAGTGTTGTGAGATCTAAGGTTCTCATATTGGTGCCTCTAAAGAGTACTGTATTCTTGGGCCAGAAGCAGTACACTGAGGAAGTTTGCCGATCTTCCTTAAAAACATTGCTAAATATCCATCACATTCTAGAAAATAGTTACATTTCTTTTATCCTCTTGTGTCTTCTTTTGATCCTATGATAATATCTAATACAATTCCCAATTCCTGCTTGCCCCCCCCTCCTCTTGACTCCTTAACATCGCAAAGTTTTGTTGACCACATATCCTGAAAATGAAGCCAAGTGAGCGGCTTAGGTCTTTGGTTGTCCTACCCCTGGGGATAAAGCCACCCAGTACCCATTTGATAGGAGGCTAGGTGGTGAACCTTAGGCTTATCTGGACCTTGTGGGAAAGAGGGAAATTCCAGTCCCTGCTTTAAACTGAACCCTGGTCATCCAGCTTGGTGTCAGCCACCAACTTGATTATTGAAGACGTAGCAGAAATGTATGTTTTTGTTGTGCAAAATGCATATTGCATGCACAGTGAATATCCTTTTATCAACTCTTCAGATCATGTCTAGACATAAATCACCTCACCATATACAGCTTATTTAGTTTATCTTCTGGATGTGTTACTTTCTCTCTGACATAATATTCATTCATTTCCACATGACATCATCGAGCTCAGTTATTTTATAATAGTTTCGTCTTTTCTTCTTCTCCTCCTCCTCCTCCTTAAAAAATGTAGGAATTGTCGGAAGAAGCCTGATACTGGATTAGAATATCATATTCATGAGAGTTGGGATAGCTCAGTCAGTATAGCAATGGGCTCTGGGCTGGACAGCTGGGGTTTGATGCTTGGCAAATGCAAAATATTTTTCTCTACCCAGTAGAATCCAGGCGAGCTCTGTGGCCCACCCAGTCTCTTAACCAATGGGTACTGGGGGCTCTTTCCCTGGGGCCTGGTCAGCCTGGGGTCAACTCAGCCTCTAACAGAAATGAGCACCAGGAATCTTCCTGGGGGGTACATGGCAGCCAGCATGTAAGGCTGACATCATCATCATCATCTGTGTACCAATTATCTAGAAAATGTGTGAGCCTTGATATCTCACAACCCTATGAGTCCTCAATGGCCTGTTACAGGAAAAGCTTTACCTTACCTTTTCTTTTTTACCTAGTTGTGTAAAGGAGGCTTCCATCGAAACTCCACAGTTCATGTGACTAGCAGATGTATAAGGTGAAAAATTGATACCTTTGTGAGAACAAGAATAACAGAATAACTTACCTCAGTTTCTCAGTGCCATGTCAGATTATTATGCTGCTTGCTGAATTTTTTGGTAACAGTATCTATTTAAACATGACTTGAATGTTTGTTGGGGGGGCACGCAGTAGGGCAGTTGGTTGAGGCACTATGCTACAAGCTGGAAGGTCGTGGCTTCAAGTCCCAGTGAGGTCACTGGATTTTTTCAATTGTCATAATCCTTCCAGCCGCACTGTGGCCCTGGGGTCGACTCAGCCTCTAACGGAAATGAGTACCAAGAATTAATTAAATAATTTTCCTGGGGAGTAGAGCGCGGCTGGCGTGTAAGGCTGACAACCTTACCACCAACTTTGAGCCAATTGTCTAGATACTGTGGGACCCTCAACGTTTCACAACCCTATGGGCATTCACGGTCTGTTACAGGGATAGCTTTATTTTTACTTTACTTTACTTTTCTAAATGTTTGTTGGAAAATCTGAAATGGAAAGACCATGTTGGAGATTAAGACACCAGTGGAAAGATAATATTAAAATAAACCTTAAAAGTGAGAAGTTTGAGGACGTGTACTAGATTTATCTAGTTCAGGATGAGAATCACTGGTGGGCCTTTGTGAACAAGGCAAGGGACCACCAAGTTTCATAAAAGATGGGAATGTCCTAAATAGCTGAATGTCATTGACTTCTCAAGATGGGGTCTGTGTCATGGATTTGTCTAAATGAGACTGTTCAAACAAGCTAATGAAGATTTCTTCTCATAATTTTCAAATTTTGCTGAGGAGCAGAACCAAATAAATGTCAATCTTCCGTAGAGCTCTTCCTTTTTGAAGCAAAGCAGTGAGATATGTCAATGAATACACTGCTAAACAAAATTGATGTGGGATGCAGGAACAGTAGACTTGTATGTATGTATGTATGTAAGGGTGGGCTAGAAAACCGGGCCCCCGCACTGCAACCTTCAGTGATCTATTGTGATTCACAGTAGTCTTAATCGCCATCCAAATTCATATTTAAACTGACAATATCACAGTTTAGAGATTTATTTTGTTTTTAAGATACTTTGTGAAAAATATTTAAAGGAGGCTCTTTATGTACGATGCCTAATGTCTTTCGATTGTTTGTGAAACGTTGAAAGCAGGATCAGGAATTCTTCTTGAGCTCATTCTGTCATTTACTTTTAATTGAATAAGAATGCCCACAGTTGTTCTACACAGAAAAGTTATGAATTTTATTTTTCTCAGCCTTCTTCTTTATATTGCCAATGTGTTCAATTGCATGACAAAATACAACAATTTTTTTTATTTGTTTCAATCTGGTCCATCACACTAACACAAGATCAGCCACCTCCAAGACACCAAGGAGAATTGACACAAACCTCAATGGTTTAAAAATTTCAATCTTAAACAACAAAGCTTTTAAAAAACTTTAAAAATTTTAATACCAGGAAGGCTGTTTGACTGTGAAATGTTGAACATTGTGTACATTGTCTATTTCAGACATTATATGTGTATATATATAATTTAACACCTATTGTAATAGTAGTTTCCGGAAAAAGTATTGATGCGCCCTGAGGGTGATCCGTAGGGATCGAAACATGTAAGGGTGATGAGTTTTTAAGTGATAAAACTTAAATAGTCACACTGGACGGTGTTGTTTTTGTCTCTGACATACAACAAACGTTAAAGAAAATTTTTGAGACTTTGGACACCCTTCAATTTCTGTTGTGTTGGTTCCCCTGACTTGGAGAATTATTGCGTACACATATTGGTGTTCGTGTGTCTGAATATTTGTTATACCGTCGGCGGGCAGATGGCAGTGCATTCACATTTCCGGTGGGAATTGAGAATGAAAGAATGACGTCAAGATGTGTGGAAGGTGATACAATGGTGTTGAAATGCATGATTGTTTGTGATATTTTAGCTGTGGCTCTGAAGGGAAAACCGTGACGATATGGTGAAAATGTGTTTGAACTTACAAGGTTGTGGTTTGGCCTGTTAACTGTCTTCGGGGCTTTTCAAGAAATTAGTAAGGTGAGTAGAAAGTCAACACGCTGGTTTGTTATGATCTGTTCCTGATGAATGGACCGATACGTTCTCTGTAGTAATCTTTGTGACTAGAGTGCGATATGAAGGTTCATACTTGAAATTGAGAATTAAATTATTTGTAGTAACAAATTGCTATGTTTTTATTGTGTTGCGAGGCATAGACAATGTGTCATAACTGTTGACACGTGGTATTGTTTTTAAGGGCGTTTTGTCGAAAATCGGTTTGCCTGTGGTCAAGGTCTACCATGAATTGAATCTAGGTTGTGTTGGTGTTGGCTAGTCGGTACAGTAATTGATATAGTCGCGGTAAGTAGGTGAAGGTCGCAGCCGTCTTATTAAGGCCTTAATCTCTTCAGTGGTGTTTATTCTAGTGCATTAATACGTATGCGAGCGAAATGTCTAGTTCTGATTTCGAGTGACTGGGATGCACCTTGCCTTATATGGCCGGTAATTTTTTATGAGTGCGCCAGAGTAACTGACATGTATGTATTTGAAATTATGAATTTAGTATTCATGTAGTTCAGCTTTATTTACTTTAATTTCAATCGGCATAGTAATAATGCGTTTCCCAAGGTCTGCCACTGTTTGTTGATTTATTTTTAATTCACATGGGTGGTGCAAGTGAATGATTAGTAGCAACCAGCCAGTTGGTTTGTTCTTATCTCTCACCATGTCCATTATCTGAAGTCACCCTTCTGTCAGTGGCAGCCTACAAATTATATTTTGATAGGCATTACAGAAATGAATATTAGTGTTGAAACATTGTTATCTAGCATATCACAATTTTTAATCTTTTACATGAGAATTATTAGCAATACAAAATACCTTATATAGGCGAAACAATGATTAGACAACGAAAATCCACTTCAAATGTTATAATTAGTGCTATTGGCTGACAGTATATATTGGTCATTTATTGTGACAGTAGAGTTTATTTCAGTAAGGCATTACTGTTATTCTGAATACAAGTTCTGTACACAGTAATTCATAGAGTTTGCACATGTAAGTAATTTAATTTTGTTTTCATGTTGGATGAATTTAATTGTCCATCAAATATATAATTTATGTGGAGAATAGCAGTATGTAGAGTATGAAAATGTTTGTAGTTATTTATTTCCTTCTAATGAAGTGAAAAATTTATAGCTAATAAACCAACTCCCTAGTACAAGATCTGCCTTCTACATCTGATATTTAGCTGAGTAAAATATTTGCTGCCTTTATGGAACCCATGCTCAGAAGTACCCCTCTATCCTGAGGCAGTTCATTCCACTCATCTTCACACCAGATGACAATATATTTGTATAATTATATCCAGGAATGTATTTTAAAAATTACAAGATGCCTGAGGTAGAATTTTCTATCAAGGAACTGTTGTGGAAGTAAGAAATTTTAGTGGGTATCTGTTCAATTCTGATGAATGTTTGTTATCCTAATATTATTCAGGGGTTTGATGATGTTAAAAAGGTTTTCAGATTTGTAGTTGAGCACTGTAGGAGTCAAATTTGTATATAATGTGAAACATTACTAGGACTTCAAAAATCACCTTTTTTGTTTTTGTATTCATATAGATACAGTTCATGTACTCCAGTCTTACAGAATTGTTTCATGTTTTTGCTACTGTATGTTGTAAGGAGCTGAAACAGAAGACTTTGTTAGTTACTGTCTGTGGGAAAGTAATGTGTTTCTTGTCTGATGATGTTGACAGTTGCAGTTTTTTATTTATTTGCATCTTGTAGAGACTCAAAGTATGTCATAGTGTGGCTAGGCCTGAGGGAGGGAGTTGAGACACAGCCTGGGCCAGTCACAAATGTGGAACCCCCCCACAGAAGTCATACAAACACATGAATATATCTTATGATTACTTTGAAAATCAGACTGTATATAAAATGAATATTGATGAAAGGTCAAAAATAATTCAGTAGTTCACTTAAATTGAATTCACACGTTCTTGCTTGCTTATTATAATTTTATAAATGAATTAAGTGTATACTTGGTCCCCCCCCCAGCCAGATGGCCCTGCCCCCTTCCACCCCATATGAGCCTGAATATTGCATGATGTTTTGTCGTCATTCCAGTCTGAGACCTGTTATCAATGTTACAAAACAGAATCCTATTTTTTCACAGGTCTTCTGAAGCTTCTTTTTCCTTTGGGTTGGTATTTTAAGATATTTTTTTAAATCCTGTCAGAGTTCAATGTGTCAGGTTCTTTCCATGTTCTTCCCTGTTGAATCTGAGGTCCTTACATTAGTGACCGAGGACTATATGATCTTGTGTGTAGTAACACTATAGTTCGGTCGAAGTCCAGTGTTTTGGAACAATGTATTGCCCCCATCTTCTGGGTTGAAGAGTAAGGCAGGCAAGAAACCAACAAGAAGCAGGCAGCAGTACATTCCTCCGGCACATCAGTGAACTTGTACTGAGTTAATTGGTGTTACAGTTTGGAAGACAGTACGCTTCTTTTTCTGTATTGTACCATAAATTCTGTTGTCTATAAAATTTGTAGTTGTGTCTGATTCATTCTTTTACAATCCAAAAGAGTTTATCTTGCAGTCCTCATGAAACGTATATTTTCTGATATCAATCTTCTGTCCACATTGCTGTAACTGACAAACAAACAAACTCACTCACTCCATGGAACCAAGTCCTTCTTGAGCTGCTCAAGAATTTGATGACATTGTATGGAACCCAGAGGTTCAGTACTGTGTTTGCAAGTAGTCCCTATCCTAAGCCAGATGAATGGAGCACTTACCACCCAATCCTGTTTCTCTAAGATTAATATTAATATTACCCTCCCACATGTCTAGGCCTTCCTAGTGGTCTGTTTCCTTCTGACTTTCCCACCAAACACCCTTTAAGAATTGGTCTTCACTCACATACATGCTACATGTCCTGTCCATCTCATCCTTTTTTTTTTTTGACATGATATTTCAAATTAACATTTGGTGAATAGTACAAGTTATGAATATGATAATAAAACGTTGACATTGATATGCAAGTGTCCCTCCATGTATTTGAAACCAAGAACAATATCCTCTTCATTAACCCTGTTTGTAGTTTGCTAGTTTATCTGGCCACTCCCCACTTTTTTTTTTACCACTGCTGTATTTACTTCGCTTTGTATGTGTATTTCTATCTGTGAAGTCTGCTAATCACATGCTGGTGTAAGTTGTTATGCGATGTAAGACTTGCATGATGTGGCTTATGAACTGCTCCAAGCCATGTACATTCACTGCATGGATGATAACACAACAGGAATTGGTGATCTCTTATGTAACATAATTAAATATTATATAAAAGTTGTTTTTAATTATTATTTTTAAGTAGTTGTTTGCTGTCTGTAGCGGCCCTGTCATATATTTTTTTGCCAGATGATTTTGGATAGCTGATTGCAAATAAATTGTCATCAAAATATAATTGATGTCTTCCTGTTTTGTCTGAATTTGTTGTTGTGTCACTGTTTATAAATACATCATGTGGTCTCTCTCTTGATCCATGGTTGATTTTTGTTTTGGAAGTCCATAGAGATTATTGTGTGTGTGTGTTTATGTCATCACGTCACTGTCGAGTCCATCTGTATGTCTCCATTTGTTCTGCCTTGTGCTTTTCATGGCCTACAATTCCTACTGGTGTATCCAGGGCCCTGTCTCATCTTTCCAATCCTCGGAAGTTATGGGCCACTGCCATTCCCCATGCTTCATGTCCTCTCCCCACTCTTATATGTAGCCAGCCACTTTCCCACCTTGGCTTAAATGTGCCCTGAAGGTGGAGGTAGGATGTTCGTCTGACACATTGGTACCCACCCACCAGAGTACATGGCACCATACTTTAGAACAATTCCACAGTCACTGTTCACCAAAAAGAAAACCCCTGATCTCATAAAAGTTAACTGTAAATTGTGATCACTTGAAATTGATCGACAGTCATTATTTTAAGGATCTGTTTTGAGGACAGTTACAATACTCTCTTTTACACTGGCACTTCAGTGCAGTTTGTATTGCTCTCATATCTGAGTCATTATGTGTAGCTGGTATGTATGTCCTTCTCTCTATATCTATTTCTGTCTGGTATCATTATTAAATTCTTCAACTTATTAATTTGTTCATTTATGATGCCAGAAGCACAGGCTATTGCATTGATGATAGGATGATTAATGAACTGGAAAGAATGTGGAAGGAAGTGTTTGTGACCTAATTTGAGATACTGTCTTGGCATTTGCTATGAAAGACTGAGGGCAAACATGAAAAAAGGTAAGGCTAGCTCTATAACAGGCTGTGAAGCCCCATAGGGTCGTGAGACATTGAGACAACCACATTTTCTAGACAGTTGGATAAGAGATGGCAGTGATGTTGTAAGCCTTACACACCAGCCACTCTTTACCCCCTGGAAGATTCCTGGTACTCATTTCTATTAGAGGCTGAATCGACCCCCAGGGCCGTAATGCAGCTGGAAGATTACTTGACTTGAAAAGTCCAGTGACATTGGGAATTGAACCTGCAACCTTCCAGCTTGTGACATAGTGCCTCAACCAACAATGCTAATGTGTTTCTTAAAGGGGGAGAGTTTTTTTTTTTTATTCTTAAGATATATTTTTGGCTAGGATATGGAAAACATGGAATGCAGATTTTGTTTAAAAATGGAAAAAAATATTGATTTTTTTCCAGCTTTTGCATTCCCATCCTTTTTTGTACTCATGTTTAAGTGGACTGAGGACGACCGTTGTATGGTCATGGCTCATAAATTGTTTAAACATGCTGTCTCATATGCAAAGGTTATTTACTATAAAACTTGGCAAGATGATGAATAATCACAGTTACTTTTAAAGGATGTGGAAGGATGTCCCTTTGAGGGCAATATTACAGTATGTTTCTGGAAGGACTAAGGAAGACAACAAAAATTCAGGATAACCAAGTTCTGGCTGATATTTAAGTCAGGTCTGACAGACTTCTGCCCAGTCAGTGTCTTCAGTAAACATATTATATGCGTGC